AAAATGGATAGAAAAAAAGAAATAAAAGAGAGAGAAAGGAAAAATGGAAAGAGAGAAAACGAAATAAAAGATAGAGAAAGGAAGAAAAGGAAAAAAAATAAAGAGAAAGAAAAAGAAAAACGAGAAGAGAGGGAAAAAAAGAAAGAAAAAAAAGAGAGAAGAGAAAAGAAAAAAAAATGGAAAGGAAGAAAAAAAATGAAAAGGGAAATAAAATCTTCCAAAATGGAAGGGAAAAAAAAGACAGAGAAAAAAAAAAAGAAAGAAGAACAGAGAAACAAGTAAAAAAAAAAAAAAAAAGACAGAGAAACAAGTAAAAAAAAGACAGAAACAAGTAAAAAAAAAGCGAGAAACAAGTAAAAAAAAAAAAAAACAGAGAAACAAGAAAAAGACAGAAACAAATAAAAAAAAGAGAGAAACAAGTAAAAAAGAGAGAAACAAGTAAAAAAAAAAAATAAATAAATAAATAGATAAACAAGAACAACAAATTACCTCCAGCCACAGTAGCCCCCGTGCCAACAGCCCACGACGCCCTGCTCTCGAACTGACAAGTATTAACCCAAGTTCCTTCGTGTCTCACAGTGCAGTTGGCAGTCGAGGCGATAAAGCCGGCAATTGCAACGGCAAAGAAGATAACTCCTAAGATCATAAGCTTCACAACGACCCCAGCTGTGAAGTACACGCCGCTGTCCCTGTTGTATTTCTGAGGAAGAATGGGGTTGTGGGTGATGTTGTGATATTGTGAAAGGTCTTTTTGTAGTTGTATTTCTGAGGAAGAATGAGGTTGTGGGTGGTGTTGTGATATTGTGAAAGGTCTTGTGTAGTTGTATTTCTGAGGAAGAATGAGGTTGTGGGTGGTGTTATGATAATGTGAAAGGTTTTGTGTAGTTGTATTTCTGAGGAAGAATAAGGTTGTGGGTGGTGTTGTGATATTGTGAAAGGTCTTTTGTAGTTATTTGGGGTATGTGTGAGGTTTATTTTATGTTATGATAAAATGATTCGTTATATACATAAATTAATGGTAATATTTATATGTGTTTATATGTTTGTGTGTGTGTGTTTATGTGTGTGTGTTTATGCGTGTGTGTGTCTTTGTGTGTGTGTGTGTTTATATGTTTGTGTGTGTGTGTGCGCGCGTGTGTGTGTGTGTGTGTTTGTGTGTGTGTGTTGTGTTTATGTGTGTATGCGTGTGTGCGTGTTGTTGTGTGTGTTTATGTTTGGTGTTGTTTATGCGTATGTGTGTGATGTGTTTTATGGCTGTGTTTATGTGTGTTTATGTGTGTGTTTATGCGTGTGTGGTTTATGTGTGTGTGTTTATGTGTGTGTTATGTTGTGTGGTGTGGAGGTGCGTGTGTAAATATGTTATTCAATATATAGTTACTTGTATTGTATGGGTATGACTTTTGAGAGTATACACAAGTACATAAGTATACTCACATTTTCAACTGACATCTGGGTATTTTCTTGAGACATTCTGGTATTTAAAAAGCCTTGTACCTGAAAAGGAGAAAGATTCTAATCGAAACTATTGTTTGGCTGAAGATGACAATCCTTCTGATAAAAAATACGTATTGATAAAGATTATATTAATAATGATGCTGGTATTTATAACCTGTAGCATGTCCGTGGTACTTGTGTGTAGATTTTAACGATGGCGTAAGTTGTAAAAGCTATTTATTCATTTATTTTTATTTTTTCATTTTATTTATTCATTTTTATTTATTTATTTATCTATTTATTTTCATTTCTTATTTTATTTATTTATTTATTTTTATTTTTTTGATTTATCTATTTATTGAGCCCATCGGAACCCCCTAATTATCTATTTTCATTATCTTCTTATTCACTTCTGTTATTCTCCTCTTTGTAGTGATCTATTTATTTTCATTTCTTATTTCATTTATTTATTTATTTTTGTTTTTTTTATTTATCTATTTACTTTTGTTTTTTTAATTTCATATATCTATTTATTTTCATTTTTTTTTTTTTTTTTTTTTTTTATTTATTCTATTTTCTTTTCTTTTTTTTTTTTTATTTCATCTATTCTATTATTATTCACTTCTTTTTTTGTATGTAACAAGGAATGGCAGCGGGCCTAGTATTGAGCCCATCGGAACCCCAAAATTATCTATTTTCATTATCTTCTTATTTACTTCTGTTATTCTCCTCTTTGTTGTGATCAGATTCCATGGCGTCATCACTATTGTATTTTTTGTTGTTAGTAGTTTTGGTCTGTCTTCTTTAATGTTGTTGTTATTTTAATTGAAATGGTATTCTGTTATTGTTTTTTATTACGTTATCATTATCATTATTTTTATTTTATTGTTATTTTTTACGAAATGCTTAATTCTCATTATGTTTATTTTGTTAGAATAGGAGATGGCACAACCTTTACTGAAATTCAAAAAAGAAAAGAAAAAAAATCTATCATAGATTGTCTAATAACAAGAAAATATAGATTGATGCATCATAAGGATATAACCTTTATAATACACATAAAGGTAAATATCACATATATAATATGAACACGATAATATAATCTGACAGACGTAATACATATCTGTATACACTTGTTTGTCATGTACTGTTTTTATCTCTCTCTCTCTCTATTTCTCTCTTCCAATCCTCTTCTCTCTCTCTCCTGCTCATCTCTTCTCTCCTCTCATCATACTCTCTCTCTTCTCTCTCC